GATATCGGATGGTCCATACAAAAAAAAAAAAAAGATTTAGAACGATCGATTAGACCTCGAGAGATCAGTTCGGTAAAGTTTCAATGATGATAATTCAAGTGGAGAGGAATTGGGTATCTAGGGTTAGGGTTTTTAATTTGGGTCTCAATAAACGCCAATCTAGCGTTGATAATGAGGAAGATGGTAGAGAGGAGAAAGAGAAGGATGAAAATGATGATGGATAGGTTATTCACTCTTCTAGTTGAGATTGAAAGAAGGTTTAATTGTTGTTGGTAGGAATGTATCGAAGAGATGAACTATGCATCTTCTTTGATTTAGTTTTTTAATTTTAATGGACTATAAGAATTGTATAGTAAATTTCTGTGCTGATTCATGAATATTGCTTAGGTGTAATTTACATGCCATTTTTCCCATTGTATAAATCCTAAGTGCTAATTTTTTTTTTGATACATCATGCTTTTGTTGTTAAATAGCGAGTCGCCTAAACTAAACTTAATAGAGGACCAAAGGAGTAGAAATTTCAAACTTAAGGTACTAAAATAGAGATGTTTTTTGTTTAGGGACAAAGTCAAGGGTTTGTACCAAAGTTGAGGGACTCAAATTAACCAATTTCAATTAATCGGCTACAAAGCCAACAAAATAGAGATGTAATAATTAATTGACAAGGTTTTATATTTATCTTTAATTAACTTCTACTTATATAAATCTTCTTGTTTAATATGAGATGTAATTATCTTTCGAAAGTAAGAAAAAATATACCAACAAATTGTTGGTTAAAATAAAAGGTGTTTGATTTTTATTAAATAAGATTTTAAATTTGAGTGTTGTGGATAATGAGATAATTGCTAGTAGAACTTCTCCATTTATAGGGTTCAACATAGTTCAATTTTAGATTAATCAACATCTAATGTGACTTTTAAATGTTAGAGGATTTATTTAAAAAAATATAAATCAATACCTTAAATGACATATGCTTAAAGGGGAAAAAAAATAGATAACTAATCTTTAAGGCTAAAAATTACTAGTTAAAATTAGGTCAACCAAGCGAGTAAATTAAAGTTTCTTTTGAGAATATTTCTTTTTTTTGTACATAATACTTTATGTAGAAAAACACGTTATCTAAAAAATATATTTATTATTTTAATTAATTTTTTATATATATTTAAAATGATAACAAAATAACCAATGATCTAATTAATTCAGTTATAATCTTCTTTCGCTAGAAGTAAAAGATCTTGAATTTAACTTATCATGGGTGGAGTGAAATAATGAATGATAGATGATTATTTTTTATTGTGTAATTAAAATAATAAAATAATCATAATAATAAAATAATACTTCTAAAGCACTACGCAACAAAATACAATAGGACTACTCAAGAAAGCATGGGCTAGAAGAAAATGGAAACATATAGCCGCGAATCTTGAAAATTGTTAAAAAAAAATTAAAATAGTAGAAGGTCAAAAATTTTAGTTGACCTTTGACTGCTTGGCACCAGACTGGCAGTAATGGAGTGAAAGAAGTAGCGTTGACGTGTTTTCTTCCTGTCGTGCACGTGCAGAACCCTTAGCATGCCGACAGCTGCCGTTCATTTTTGTCGGTGACTTGAATCCCTGCTTTTTATTCCACGCCACCGCCCCCTGCTTTGCTGGAATTGTGGGAGTGACAATCAGTCAATCTGTCGCCACCCCAGAACGGCTCCACCGCCGGTGGTGCGGCCTCTCCATGCTGCTGCTTTTCCGCGGAGATAGGTCACGTGAGATGCTATCGCCTATCATACGAGAAATATTTATTTTTGTAAAACTTTTTTACTAAATCCCAAGTGTTAGAACTAGATGGACGTAGGTCAGTTTTGTTTTATAAAGTAAATTTAAAATTTAAAATCTGAGATTAATTTTT